AGGTCCTGCAGTGCCATGTAGTCGTCCGGTGCATACTGTACCTTATGCACATGTGTATGCATGCATGTCTGTATGGATGCATCGTGACATGTACCCCACAGCTCACCAGGCTTGCTCTTGAGGTCCTGCAGAGCCATGTAGTCGTCCGGTGCATCGCTGGGCACACTCGTCACCACTCCCGTGCCTGTAGGGAAGGCGGGGGGGAGAGTACACAGAGGCAGAAGAGTGAGTGAGAGGGGGGAGAAACAGAGAGGACAAGCGAGGACAGGCCATGTAGTCTCCCGTGCCTGTAGGGTGGGGGAGAGGGTACACAGAGGCAGAAGAGTGAGTGAGAGAGGGAGGGAGAACCAGAGAGGGCAAGAGAAGAGTCATGTAGTCGTGCGTCCGGTGCATCGCTGGGCAACACTCGTCACCACCCCCGTGCCTTTAGGGTGGGGGGGGATGGGGGGGGGAAGAGTACACAGAGGCAGAAGAGTGAGTGAGAGAGGGAGGGAGAACCAGAGAGGGCAAGAGCCATGTAGTCGTTCGTCCGCTGCATCGCTCACTGGGCACACTCGTTCGTCCCCGTGCCTGCACGGGGGGGAGGGGAGCGGAAGTACACAGGGGCAGAAGAGCGAGTGAGAGAGGGAGGGAGAACCAGAGAGGGCAAGAGCCAGAGAGGGCAAGAGCCATGTAGTCGTTCGTCCGGTGCATCGCTGGGCACACTCGCCCGTCCCCGTGCCTGCACGCATGCATATGGATGTGCCATGTGTGAGAGAGTCAGAGAAAGAAAATGGGGGGAGGGGGAAGGAGAGCACAGAGGCAGAAGAGTGAGCGAGAGAGGGGTGAGAAGCAGAGATGGCATGTAGTTGTCTGAAGCTCAATCTCAGATTACCTTTGTCTCAATCTCAATCTCAGATGGCATGTAGTTGTCTGAAGCTCAATCTCAGATTACCTTTGTCTCAATCTCAATCTCAGATGGCATGTAGTTGTCTGAAGCTCAATCTCAGATTACCTTTGTCTCAATCTCAATCTCAGATGGCATGTAGTTGTCTGAAGCTCAATCTCAGATTACCTTTGTCTCAATCTCAATCTCAGATGGCATGTAGTTGTCTGAAGCTCAATCTCAGATTACCTTTGTCTCAATCTCAATCTCAGATGGCATGTAGTTGTCTGAAGCTCAATCTCAGATTACCTTTGTCTCAATCTCAATCTCAGATGGCATGTAGTTGTCTGAAGCTCAATCTCAGATTACCTTTGTCTCAATCTCAATCTCAGATGGCATGTAGTTGTCTGAAGCTCAATCTCAGATTACCTTTGTCTCAATCTCAATCTCAGATGGCATGTAGTTGTCTGAAGCTCAATCTCAGATTACCTTTGTCTCAATCTCAATCTCAGATGGCATGTAGTTGTCTGAAGCTCAATCTCAGATTACCTTTGTCTCAATCTCAATCTCAGATGGCATGTAGTTGTCTGAAGCTCAATCTCAGATTACCTTTGTCTCAATCTCAATCTCAGATGGCATGTAGTTGTCTGAAGCTCAATCTCAGATTACCTTTGTCTCAATCTCAATCTCAGATGGCATGTAGTTGTCTGAAGCTCAATCTCAGATTACCTTTGTCTCAATCTCAATCTCAGATGGCACGTAGTTGTCTGAAGCTCAATCTCAGATTACCTTTGTCTCAATCTCAATCTCAGATGGCATGTAGTTGTCTGAAGCTCAATCTCAGATTACCTTTGTCTCAATCTCAATCTCAGATGGCATGTAGTTGTCTGAAGCTCAATCTCAGATTACCTTTGTCTCAATCTCAATCTCAGATGGCATGTAGTTGTCTGAAGCTCAATCTCAGATTACCTTTGTCTCAATCTCAATCTCAGATGGCATGTAGTTGTCTGAAGCTCAATCTCAGATGGCATGTAGTTGTCTGAAGCTCAATCTCAGATGGCATGTAGTTGTCTGAAGCTCAATCTCAGATTACCTTTGTCTCAATCTCAATCTCAGATGGCATGTAGTTGTCTGAAGCTCAATCTCAGATTACCTTTGTCTCAATCTCAATCTCAGATGGCATGTAGTTGTCTGAAGCTCAATCTCAGATTACCTTTGTCTCAATCTCAATCTCAGATGGCATGTAGTTGTCTGAAGCTCAATCTCAGATGGCATGTAGTTGTCTGAAGCTCAATCTCAGATGGCATGTAGTTGTCTGAAGCTCAATCTCAGATTACCTTTGTCTCAATCTCAATCTCAGATGGCATGTAGTTGTCTGAAGCTCAATCTCAGATTACCTTTGTCTCAATCTCAATCTCAGATGGCATGTAGTTGTCTGAAGCTCAATCTCAGATTACCTTTGTCTCAATCTCAATCTCAGATGGCATGTAGTTGTCTGAAGCTCAATCTCAGATTACCTTTGTCTCAATCTCAATCTCAGATGGCATGTAGTTGTCTGAAGCTCAATCTCAGATTACCTTTGTCTCAATCTCAATCTCAGATGGCATGTAGTTGTCTGAAGCTCAATCTCAGATTACCTTTGTCTCAATCTCAATCTCAGATGGCATGTAGTTGTCTGAAGCTCAATCTCAGATTACCTTTGTCTCAATCTCAATCTCAGATGGCATGTAGTTGTCTGAAGCTCAATCTCAGATTACCTTTGTCTCAATCTCAATCTCAGATGGCATGTAGTTGTCTGAAGCTCAATCTCAGATTACCTTTGTCTCAATCTCAATCTCAGATGGCATGTAGTTGTCTGAAGCTCAATCTCAGATTACCTTTGTCTCAATCTCAATCTCAGATGGCATGTAGTTGTCTGAAGCTCAATCTCAGATTACCTTTGTCTCAATCTCAATCTCAGATGGCATGTAGTTGTCTGAAGCTCAATCTCAGATTACCTTTGTCTCAATCTCAATCTCAGATGGCATGTAGTTGTCTGAAGCTCAATCTCAGATTACCTTTGTCTCAATCTCAATCTCAGATGGCATGTAGTTGTCTGAAGCTCAATCTCAGATTACCTTTGTCTCAATCTCAATCTCAGATGGCATGTAGTTGTCTGAAGCTCAATCTCAGATTACCTTTGTCTCAATCTCAATCTCAGATGGCATGTAGTTGTCTGAAGCTCAATCTCAGATTACCTTTGTCTCAATCTCAATCTCAGATGGCATGTAGTTGTCTGAAGCTCAATCTCAGATTACCTTTGTCTCAATCTCAATCTCAGATGGCATGTAGTTGTCTGAAGCTCAATCTCAGATTACCTTTGTCTCAATCTCAATCTCAGATGGCATGTAGTTGTCTGAAGCTCAATCTCAGATTACCTTTGTCTCAATCTCAATCTCAGATGGCATGTAGTTGTCTGAAGCTCAATCTCAGATTACCTTTGTCTCAATCTCAATCTCAGATGGCATGTAGTTGTCTGAAGCTCAATCTCAGATTACCTTTGTCTCAATCTCAATCTCAGATGGCATGTAGTTGTCTGAAGCTCAATCTCAGATTACCTTTGTCTCAATCTCAATCTCAGATGGCATGTAGTTGTCTGAAGCTCAATCTCAGATTACCTTTGTCTCAATCTCAATCTCAGATGGCATGTAGTTGTCTGAAGCTCAATCTCAGATTACCTTTGTCTCAATCTCAATCTCAGATGGCATGTAGTTGTCTGAAGCTCAATCTCAGATTACCTTTGTCTCAATCTCAATCTCAGATGGCATGTAGTTGTCTGAAGCTCAATCTCAGATTACCTTTGTCTCAATCTCAATCTCAGAAGGCATGTAGTTGTCTGAAGCTCAATCTCAGATTACCTTTGTCTCAATCTCAATCTCAGATGGCATGTAGTTGTCTGAAGCTCAATCTCAGATTACCTTTGTCTCAATCTCAATCTCAGATGGCATGTAGTTGTCTGAAGCTCAATCTCAGATTACCTTTGTCTCAATCTCAATCTCAGATGGCATGTAGTTGTCTGAAGCTCAATCTCAGATGGCATTTGTCTCAATCTCAATCTCAGATGGCATGTAGTTGTCTGAAGCTCAATCTTAGATTACCTTTGTCTCAATCTCAATCTCAGATGGCATGTAGTTGTCTGAAGCTCAATCTCAGATTACCTTTGTCTCAATCTCAATCTCAGATGGCATGTAGTTGTCTGAAGCTCAATCTCAGATGGCATGTAGTTGTCTGAAGCTCAATCTCAGATGGCATGTAGTTGTCTGAAGCTCAATCTCAGATGGCATGTAGTTGTCTGAAGCTCAATCTCAGATGGCATGTAGTTGTCTGAAGCTCAATCTCAGATGGCATGTAGTTGTCTGAAGCTCAATCTCAGATGGCATGTAGTTGTCTGAAGCTCAATCTCAGATGGCATGTAGTTGTCTGAAGCTCAATCTCAGATGGCATGTAGTTGTCTGAAGCTCAATCTCAGATGGCATGTAGTTGTCTGAAGCTCAATCTCAGATGGCATGTAGTTGTCTGAAGCTCAATCTCAGATGGCATGTAGTTGTCTGAAGCTCAATCTCAGATGGCATGTAGTTGTCTGAAGCTCAATCTCAGATGGCATGTAGTTGTCTGAAGCTCAATCTCAGATGGCATGTAGTTGTCTGAAGCTCAATCTCAGATGGCATGTAGTTGTCTGAAGCTCAATCTCAGATGGCATGTAGTTGTCTGAAGCTCAATCTCAGATGGCATGTAGTTGTCTGAAGCTCAATCTCAGATGGCATGTAGTTGTCTGAAGCTCAATCTCAGGGCGTAGATAGTTGGGCGTGAGAGGCGCCTTGATGGTATCTACACTCCACCTTGCGGACCATAGCTTTGCTTCTGAAATGTCTCGAGCATCGCATCTTTGTCCGTGAGAATGGTGAGCATGGGCAGGGCGTAGATGACTGGGTTGGGCGTCAGAGGAGCCTTGAGAGGCAGGTGACTGTGGCAGTGGCACCTACACCTTCTGCACCACACTTCTGCTTTAGAACCTTTATCAGAGCATCGCACCTTTGTCCGTGAGAATGGTGAGCATGGGCAGGGCGTAGATGACTGGGTTGGGCGTGAGAGGCGCCTTGAGAGGCAGCCCTATCAGGTCATGCCCCGTCAGCTCCAGCAGGCAATGCGGCTTGCCAAACTCCTGGGGGAAGGAGAGGGAGCAAGTCAGAATTCAGTAGGATGGCACAGGGGCGAGGGTCAAGACAGGCAACTGCAATCAAGGGGTAAGGATTCAATTAGGTCGTGCCCGGTCAATTCCAGCAGGCAGGCTACCAATGATACAAGGGTTGTTGCAAATCACCTTGGAGTGGAACTGATAGGAGGGGTTGAGAGCTGATCGCTTGGTCACCACAAACAATTTTCGAGGCGCCTCAAAACTGAGACGATTTTTTAGGTGCCTAAAAAAATTGCTCTGAGACTAGTGGCTGCTTCACCTTGGAGTGGAACTGGTAGGAGAGGTTGAGAGCTGATCGCTTGGTCACCACAAACACATCTCCAGCTTCGTTCACTTCAAACGCGCCATACTGCCCGTCGGGCAGCACCCAAGCGTTTGTCTGCCCATACATGGTCTCCGGGCGCAGTGTGGCAGCGGCGAGGAAAACATTTCTGCCCGCAAGAGCCTCGAGCTTTCCTGGTGTTGGTTGGGGCCCGCGCGGGAGGAAAAACAGGAATATCCAGTATCTTTGGGGTATAGGGATTGTGGAGGATGGATGGGAGGGATGCTGAGGGAACTGAGAGGCTGGAAAAGGGGAGAACATGAGTAGGAAGGAGAAGAATGCATGAGTGAGCAGCGCATATGGCTTGTGATGTGCTAGAAAATCTAGGTAAAGAAACACACCTGTGAGCGGCGGCACGACTTGCATCTTGATGAGCGTGTACTCCTGGGGCAGCACTCCCTCCCCTGACGCCCTGTCATGGGGATAGCACGTCTTGCCCTCACTGTCTCACGGCCCCCACAGCCTACAGGGTTCACTCACGCACCTGTGAGCGGCGGCACGACTTGCATCTTGATGAGCGTGTACTCCTGGGGCAGCACTCCCTCCCCTGACGCCCTGTCATGGGGATAGCACGTCTTGCCCTCACTGTCTCACGGCCCCCACAGCCTACAGGGTTCACTCACGCACCTGTGAGCGGCGGCACCACTTGCATCTTGATGAGCGTGTACTCCTGGGGCAGCACTCCCTCCCCTGACGCCCTGTCATGGGGATAGCACGTCTTGCCCTCACTGTCTCACGGCCCCCACAGCCTACAGGGTTCACTCACGCACCTGTGAGCGGCGGCACCACTTGCATCTTGATGAGCGTGTACTCCTGGGGCAGCACTCCCTCCCCTGACGCCCTGTCATGGTCGGCACAAGGCTGGCCGTCCAGCGGCGAGAAGATGGTGTAGCGGCGGTCCTTCACCACCTGGTGACCAGAAGGGGGAGAGAAGGGGGAAACGGGGAAACCAGCAGAAATTGTGGGAACAAGAGGGGGATGAAAGGGACTGGCCTGTCATGGTCGGCACAGGGCTGCCCGTCCAGCGGCGAGAAGATGGTGTAGCGCCGGTCCTTCACCACCTGGTGGGGGGAGTGAGAGAGCAAGAGGGAAACAGTGCAGGTTGAGGGGGAAGAAGGAGGGAGAGTGGTGGGTACGTGGGAAGGGGGCATTGCCTGTCATGGTCGGCACAGGGCTGGCCATCCAGCAGCAAGAAGATGGTGTACCGCCGGTCCTTCACCACCTGGTAGCCACAAGAAGAGCAAGGGGAAACCAGTGGCGATTCCAACGGAAAGAGTGGGGGGAGGGAGGAATGAGAGGGAGAGAGGTATTTACTATCACATTCCGCACAGGGCTGGCCGTCCAGAGGCCAGAAGATGGTGTAGCGCCGGTCTTTCATCACCTGTCAAGGCGGGGGGGGGGGGGGGGGGGAGGGGGAGGAGGGAACAAGGGATTTGGGGTCACCTTGCCCTTGTGGTAAAGGGTCAGCAGGTGCCAGCGTGCAAAACGAGTCATAGTACGGATTCATGTCCGTGGTGATGAAGGAGATATGCACCCATCTATATGCACCCATCTATATGCACCCATCTATATGCACCCATCTATGTACAACCACCTATGTGCACCAATCTCTGTGCCACACACACACCTTGCCTTGTTGTAGAGCGTCTGCAGGTGCCAGTGAGCGAACGAGTCGTAGTACGGGTTCATGTCCGTGGTGAGGTGATGAAGGAGGAATGCACCCATCTACATACACCCATCAGCGTGCACCCATCCACATGCCACCCACGGGACACACCTTGCCCTTGTTGTAGAGCGTCTGCAGGTGCCAGCGAGCAAACGAGTCATAGTAGGGGTTCATGTCTGTGGTGATGAAGGAGGGGGACACCCACCTATGTGCACCCATCAGCCTGCACCCACCTTGCCCATGCCACCTACCTTGCCCTTGTTGTAAAGAGTCTGCAGGTGTCAGCGAGCAAACGAGTCGTAGAACGGGTTCATGTGCGCGGTGATGGAAGGAACGGTCCCACCTACCTATGTGCACCAATCAACATGCACCCATCAACGTGCCACCTACCTTGCCCTTGTTGTAGAGCGTCTGCAGGTGCCAGCGTGCAAAGGAGTCATAGTACGGGTTCATGTCCATGGTGATGAAGGAGTGGATGCACCCATGTGCACCCATGGTCTGATGTGCACCCATCTAGATGCCATGGGATGGGACACACCTTGCCCTTGTTGTACAGCGACTGCAGGTGCCAGCGAGCGAACGAGTCATAGTAGGGGTTCATGTCCGTGGTGATGAAGGAGCAGATGCACCCACCTATGTGCACCCATGCACATGCCACACAGACACACCTTGCCCTTGTTGTACAGCGACTGCAGGTGCCAGCGAGCGAACGAGTCATAGTAGGGGTTCATGTCCGTGGTGATGAAGGAGCAGATGCACCCACCTATGTGCACCCATGCACATGCCACACAGACACACCTTGCCCTTGTTGTACAGCGACTGCAGGTGCCAGCGAGCGAACGAGTCATAGTAGGGGTTCATGTCCGTGGTGATGAAGGAGCAGATGCACCCACCTATGTGCACCCATGCACATGCCACACAGACACACCTTGCCCTTGTTGTACAGCGACTGCAGGTGCCAGCGAGCGAACGAGTCATAGTAGGGGTTCATGTCCGTGGTGATGAAGGAGCAGATGCACCCACCTATGTGCACCCATGCACATGCCACACAGACACACCTTGCCCTTGTTGTACAGCGACTGCAGGTGCCAGCGAGCGAACGAGTCATAGTAGGGGTTCATGTCCGTGGTGATGAAGGAGCAGATGCACCCACCTATGTGCACCCATGCACATGCCACACAGACACACCTTGCCCTTGTTGTACAGCGACTGCAGGTGCCAGCGAGCGAACGAGTCATAGTAGGGGTTCATGTCCGTGGTGATGAAGGAGCAGATGCACCCACCTATGTGCACCCATGCACATGCCACACAGACACACCTTGCCCTTGTTGTACAGCGACTGCAGGTGCCAGCGAGCGAACGAGTCATAGTAGGGGTTCATGTCCGTGGTGATGAAGGAGCAGATGCACCCACCTATGTGCACCCATGCACATGCCACACAGACACACCTTGCCCTTGTTGTACAGCGACTGCAGGTGCCAGCGAGCGAACGAGTCATAGTAGGGGTTCATGTCCGTGGTGATGAAGGAGCAGATGCACCCACCTATGTGCACCCATGCACATGCCACACAGACACACCTTGCCCTTGTTGTACAGCGACTGCAGGTGCCAGCGAGCGAACGAGTCATAGTAGGGGTTCATGTCCGTGGTGATGAAGGAGCAGATGCACCCACCTATGTGCACCCATGCACATGCCACACAGACACACCTTGCCCTTGTTGTACAGCGACTGCAGGTGCCAGCGAGCGAACGAGTCATAGTAGGGGTTCATGTCCGTGGTGATGAAGGAACGGCGCCAGTCCACTCCCAGCCCAAACGCCTTGAGATCGTCCTGAGAGCATGCGCAATGGGGGAATATGGAAGGATAGAGGGTAAGGGGGCGAAACAAGTTCAAGGAATTCTGAGGGACCTCAGAATGGAAATGGGGGAAAGCTGGTGAGCGAGTGAGATTTTTGAGGCGCCTAAAAAATCGTCTCAGTTCACGCGGTTTTTATATGGGGAATGTTTACATTGCATGGAGGTGTGCACGTAACTTGCAAAAGTTACTCGTGTGAGCGAAGGTTCCAAGGCTTATCGATAGCCCTGACGAAGACACCACGGAAGGCTGACACTTGTAACCTTGGGTTTTTGCCCAGTGCTGTGTTGGCGAATGCCCATTGTTAGGCAATCTGGGTAGATGGGAACCTTGAATTCTGTTCGCGGTGTAGGTTGATTACTTAGCCTATGCCTAGCTGTTGGATCTCTTTGTGTTCAGAAGCACTGATGAAGGCTTGACGGGTTCTCCCGCCTTGCCGAAACATGTTTGCGACCTGTTCTGATTGAGTGAATTCAGTTCTTGCGATCAGAGTTTTCTTAGCCTAGGGAATTTTTACTCTTTCTCTTACTTGCTAAAGCGTTTCACTAGCACTGCTGCCCTTCCACCATGAGTGACAACGACCCGTGGAAATGGGGGAAAGCTGGTGAGCGAGTGAGCAGCAAGGTCTGATTCCGAGACGATTCAGAGCACAGCATACCAGAGAGCAGTAGCAGCGGCGGCGGCATCGGCATCAGCAGCAGCAGCACATACATAGTACATACCACAGCGATAGGGGGAAAGTAGGTGAGCCAGTGTGCAGGGTCTTTGAAGGGCTTGATCTCCTCGTCTGACATGCCCATAGACCGCATGATCTCCCACTGCGGTGAGAAGGGGTGGGATGGGGTGAAATAGGGTGGAAATGGGTGTGAAGGGGTGGAAAGGGGTAAGAACGGGTGAGAAGGTGTGAGAAAGGATGAGTACATGTGAGGAAAAAGAGGTGCAATGGGGGGTGAGAATAGTTGTAGAGGGGTGGGAATAGTTGTAAAAGGGTGAGAATTGTAAAAGGGTGAAATGGGGTGAGAAAGGTTGAAGCGGGATCAGAAACGGTGAGAGAAGAGAACAGGGCATGCGCATTGAGAGGTTGAGATGCATATGTGCAGACATGCCTGGATGGTCCATGGACCATGGGTATGTATGACCAACATGACGTCACGTCATGTCACATGATGCCACATACCCCTACCAACTGTGCCACATCCCCCAACCAGCTCCGCCACCCCTACTGCCACCTCCCTTACCTGGTACTTGGCCGTCCCTGTCTTGGCAGCCGCCTTGGACTGTCAGGAAATTAGGTGGAGGGGGCAGGAAGGGGCGAGAGAGAGATGAGAGGGAGGGAGAAAGGGGTGAAAAACTAGGGGCAGGGATGCTGATGGGATGCTGACAAACGCGAGAGCTGAAGAAAAAGTTGTGAGCTCCAGTCCCAGACCTACACTATGACACCATCACCACCGCCATCCCCTCATTTAACCCCTCAGCTGAAATTCCAAAATCATCATCCCCACCTATCCACGCCGGGAAGAAATCCTCACCTTCTTCCCCTTGAACTGCCCAGGGGCCTTCTGCTCCTCTCCCTTAGCCCCGTCCGCGGCCGCCCCAGCCCCCCCCTCTGCAGCAGCACTCCCCTCCGCAATAGAGAGGGCCTCCAGAGCTGCCGACTCCTCCTCGCTGGGGAACTGGGGCGGGTAGCCATACGTGTCCATCTCACGCGCTAGCTTGTCCGCACACGCCTGGTGGTGAGGCGGGAATGGGAAGGACGGGAGGGAGGGGTGGGGGGACTATGGGAATGAGGTGCCTCCAGAGCTGCCGTTTCCTCCTCGCTGGGGAACTGGGGCGGATAGCCGTATGTGTCCATCTCACGCACTAGCTTGTCAGCACACGCCTGGTGAGGGGGGAAGGGGAGGGGCGAAAGGGATGGGGTCAGACGCGCTGCCATCGGCAATGGAGAGCGCCTCCAGAGCTGCCGTTTCCTCCTCGCTGGGGAACTGGGGCGGGTAGCCGTACGTGTCCATCTCGCGGGCTAGCTTGTCCGCACACGCCTGGTGAGGGGGGAAGGGGATGAACGGGAGGGAGATGGGGTGGGGGGGTTATAAGAATGAGGTGCCTCCAGAGCCGCCGTTTCCTCCTCGCTGGGGAACTGGGGTGGGTACGTGTCCATCTCACGTGCTAGCTTGTCAGCACACGCCTGGAAGGAAGTGGTGGGGAGGAAAAGGACGAAAAGGTAGTATGGGGATGGAAACAAAACACCCCCCTTACTGGGGAACTGGGGCGGGTACCCCGTATGTGTCCACACGCACCTGGTGTGGGGGCGGAGGGAAGGGAGGGTGGTTTACAGGAAATTCCTATGCACTGGAACCCGAAGGGGAGGGGAGGAGCACGATACATGCATTGATTTGTTTACAGAACAAAAAGACTTATCCATCATGCAGCACGCACGCACCTTGATGGGCATGCCAGTGCAGTGGAAGCCGAAGGGGAACAACACATTAGCTCCCCTCAGCCGGTGGTACGACGCTGCGAACTCCACCTGCACTAGGTGCGACAGGACAGAGAAAAAGGTGCAACGGGTGCAGGATGGGGAGAAGGGGGTTCGAGTGTGTGAGTAGGGCGATTGTAAGCTGCTGCTGCTGCTGCTTTTGGAAAACGCGTAGTTCAAATGCGGTGCACAGCATGGAACGGCACAGCACAGCACAGCACAGCACAGCACAGCACAGCATGTCAAAAAATTCTCACCAGGGAGAGAATGAACGCATGGCCCAAATGCAGCAGGCCGTAGGAATAGGAGGGAAAGGCGCTTGTAAATCGACCACAGACGAGGCATGTGTTGTGAAGAGCAGTTTTTTCTCACCTTGGAGAGAGTGAACGCGTGGCCCAAATGCAGCAGACCGTTCATGTACGGATAGGGGAAGTTGCCAAAAAAGCGGTCATCACGAGGGCCAGACCCCAAGGGGGCTGTGTAACACAGGCCTCGGTGACTCATTCTCACCTTGGAGAGAGTGAACGCGTGACCCAAATGCAACAGGCCGTTCATGTAGGGATAGGGGGGAAAAGGCGCGTGTAAATCGACCACAGACGAGGCATGCATTGTGAAGAGCAGTTTTTCTCATGTAGGGGTAGAAGTAGTTGCCAAAGAAGCGGTCATCGCGAGGGCCAGAACCCAGGAGGCTGTGTAACACAGGCCTCAGTGACTCGTTCTCACCTTGGAGAGAGTGAAAGCGTGGCCCAGGTGCAGCAGCCCGTTCATGGAGGGATAGGGGAAGGGAAGTTGCCAAAGAAGCGGTCATCGCGAGGGCCGGACCCAGCAGCTGCGCCCTCCTTGGCCTCAGTGACGCGGTCCCACCCCAGGAGGCTGTGTAGCACAGGCCTCAGTGACTCAGTCTCACCTTAGAAAGAGTGAACGCGTGACCCAAATGCAGCAGCCCGTTCATGTAGGGGTAGGGGAAGTTGCCAAAGAAGCGGTCATCACGAGGGCCAGACCCAGCAGCGGCTCCCTCCTTGGCCGCGGCCTCAAAGACCTTCTCCTCCTCCCACTGCTTCTGCACGGCCGCCTGAATCTGCAGCAGCAGATCCCGCCGCACGTGGCTCTTCGCGCCCTCCTGAGGCTGAGCCTGTGAAGGGCGAGAGGGGAGACGAGATGCAGAAGAGGAAGTGGGGGATGGTCGGGAGACGCGTTTACGGCGAATTCGTGCTGCCTGACGATGAACCTTAGAAAGTACGGTACGGGGTTGAAGTATCAAACGGGAAAGGCCTCATAGGATCAGAATGGGAGATGCCAAGACGCATCAACAAGGAAAGAATGTCGTAAGCTTATCTAAGGCTGAGCAAGTGATCAGGTGATCGGCGCTGGCTGCTTCACCGAATCTGGTGAGCGTATCTAAGAGCAATCGGGTAATGGAGTGATCGTGTGAAAGGCGTTGGCTTGTCTTACGAAACGACTTTGCCGTCCCTGTGAATATCGAATTCTTGCATTCTTAGATTCTCTCATCCCTTCTGCAAGCTAGAATTGACGAACTGCAAGTAAGTGGATTAAAAAAACCCTGCTGGATTTTCGCACGTACGAGACTGAGATGTCGTCCCTAGAAAGAAGTTACTTTAGAGACGAGTCGAAGCTTTTTAAACTCGAAATCCATGCTAGTTCTTGCAACTACAAAGAATCCGAATGCTGTTCTAAAGAATATAATACTACTACCCCGACTCTGCATAGGACTCCCGAACTTGACTTGCCATTGCGAAGAGCCTATTCCATCTAAACATGCCGACATGCGATTCGGAAACAAGCATTACATGCGCACGGATCAGGCATGGTGGAGAGGAGCCAATGCAACTACGCGTGCCAGATTCGTGCGCATGGCAGGTTGACTCTAGCCTGACAGGATATTCAAGTTGATATCGATCTGGACCGTCGGAACGGTAACGTTGATCACCCACCTCACTGGAAGCTTTCGCGGTGGCTGGCGGAGCCATTGCAACTACCGCCGAAGAAGGAAGCAATGCTAGTCGCTAGAGGAGTAAGAAAGAGGACTTGTTCGCGGTGCCGCCCTCGCAGGTGTCAGGAAAAGAAGGACCAGAAAGTCAGAAAATCGTGATATCAGGGAGAGGTGACGTGATCACCACAACCTGTGCCTTGGGATTGCCGATCAGGCGAAGCAGAGTAAAACCCAAACCCGACCATAACTCGCATACTACAGTGCACGGAAAAGTAAACCTGCAGAAACTAAGTACCTTACGAGCTACAAAATGGAGGCAGGAAGTAAATGGGGAAAATGAGAACCACTCTTAACTACCCCACCATGCTAATGTGGATGTATAAGGTTAGCAGGTAGTGCACCCTACAGAACACGCTGCTCTGTATTCTTCTTGTAATGCTGCCAAATCCTACCCAACGCAACAATACGATTCCTAATGGCAACGCTAATTAGAAACAAGAAAGATCCGGTATGACATTGCAACACTAATGACATTGCTACAGCTCACAATAATCATGACTTCTGTTCTGCACAATTCACCACCACATGTTCCAACCTGGCACCTGATGATGTACAATTAAAAAGAGTCTCGTACAAAAGCAACCTAGCCTAACACCAAACAAGAGATTAAGCAATCAAGAATCAAATCAAAGCAATTCTGCAACCAAACAAGTCAACCCATTAACCAGGTCCAACCTTAAGCTGAGCTGCCCAGAAAACAAAACAACACGTGCTGGGGTTACGCAGCTTTCTCATGCTACTGCCTGCCTCTCGTTACCCACAAATCAAATGCATCCATGCCTCTCCCAACACCCACACCCACCTGCTCTGCGCCCTTTCTCTCCTGCTACTCTGCGCCACAACCCTTCATACCCCCATGCAGCAACCATTGCTATCCAGAGTAGCCATGCTGATGTGATATCAACCCCCCCGGCGAATTAAGACTTGCCTGGTTGCCAGATATCACACTACCCTGCTGGTTACCACCCAAACCATCTCCTCCCGAACCTCCAGCAGAGGCTCGGGTGAGCCTCGGCGGCTGGCGAGGCCGCCTCTTGTTCCCACCCGGGCCAGCAGGCCTGCCTTGGTAGTAGCCCATGCCTTGGTCCGAGCCTCCGCCAAACCTATTTCCATACCGCTGTGAGGCTGCCACTCCTCCTGCCATACCTCCTGCCATTCCTACAGGTACAGGCCCAAGCTGTGAAAGGTAGACATTGGGAAGGGAAACGGGCAAACCACCCGCTCCTACCATCCCCACTCCTGCTGGCTGTGCCATTGTCTGTGCTGCTGCTCCTGCCATGCTCCCTTGCACCACCACCCCAGTCTGATGCTGCCCTGGCACCCCAAGCACAGGCCCACGGTAAGGGATCGGCTGCAGGGAAGGAGCGGCATGCTGAGCATGTGTGTGCGGGCGGCGAGAGGAGAGGGACTGGGCGCTTGAGTGCGGCACAGAGGATGAAGTCAAGCTGGCATTGCCGGAAATCAAGGTGGTGTCCCCATCACCCAGAGTTTCTGGGAACCGATGAACGTCGATCGCGCTGGAGGCGGTAATGCCAGAAGTTTTAGAAGCAGCCGCAGCCGCAGCATCGGCAGTGGCAGTAGTAGCAGAGCTGTCACCTGCCGTTGCTGCAACAGCAGCATCTGTTTTGACAGCACCAACGCCGACAGCAGCATCTGTTTTGACAGCACCAACGCCGACAGCAGCAGCGGCTGTTGCAGAAGCTTCCCTGGTACCAGCAGACACTCCAAGAATCTGCTCCCGACCTTCCTTCCCACTTCCTTCTACCCAGCTTCCTCCCCCTTCTTTCTCACCTGCACCCCTGCTACCAACCTCCAAGCCTAGATTCAAGGCTTGGGAGCATGCCATACCACCGGCTGCTTCGGCATGTGACGTAGCCGAAGCTGGGGCGCTGGTATGGGAAAGCAGGGGCGGCGCTGCTGCGAGCGACTGTTGATTGGGTTGGGGTTGAAGGTGTTGGGAGGAGAAAAGAGCAGGAGGAGGGAACGGAAGGAGGGAGGGACCCATGGGGGGGGGAGGTAGTGCAGGGCCCACAGGGGGAGGTGGAAACTGGGGAAGGTGTGGCCAGAGGTAAGGCATGGACTGCTGCTGTAAGGGATGCTGTTGTGACACCTGCAGGGAAGTGGGGGCGTGGAGAGGAATGAGGAAAGATTGTGTAACATCAACGGTAAGAGGCCAACCAGGTGAAGCAGGAAAAACTACATTTTCTAAAATCTGCATAAGAAGAGGCAAAGGTGGGTGAAGCAGGGAATGCTACCTTCAGAAAATCTAAAAACGGAAAAGACAAAGGCAGGTGAACAGGGAGCGCTACCTGTGAATGAGGTGGCTGCTGACTGGGTGCCATCACTGCCGAACCATCATGCACGCTCTGCTGCTGCTGCTGCTGCTGCTGCTGCTGCTGGGTTTGTACGTTTTGCTGCTGCTGCATGTAGCGGTGCTGCTGCTGCCACTGCTGCTGACTCTGCTGCTGCTGGAACCGCGGAGGAGGAACGACACCACCACGAGCGCGACCCATGCTGCCAGGCACTTCGAATCGCGAGTGCGACGCGTTCCGTAATTCGTCAGACTGTGACTGAGACTGACTGCCTGACTGATTAACTGACTGGTTTCCCCTTTCGCCCACCCCTCCCTGCTGCTGCTTGTGCCGCTGCTTCTGCCTCTGCCTGCCTTTCTGGCTGTTTCCCTCCTCTTTCTTCTGCGTTAGTTGCTGCTGCTGCTGCTGCTGCTGATGATGCCCCATGTACGTTTGGGTGCTTGCACTCACATTATATACCCCTTGGCCATACTGTGACACAGGAAAACCCATACCCGCCTGCCCCACTCCTACCTGCCCCAATCCTTCCTGCCCCGTTCCTCCAACCTGCCCGAAATTTGACAGGGAAATGCCTGCTTGCATGGGCTGACCCACCTGCCCGAACTGCCCATTGGGAAAAGGAGGCCCAGGAAAGAGCATCATGGGAGGACCCGAGTGCATGGCATGGTTTGGCGTGGCATGAGTAGGGTGCATGGCATGGTTTGGCATGGCGTGACCAGACATGCCATGGGCCATATGTGGAAGAGCATGCGGCTGGGGCATGGGGAAATGAGACATGGGCTGATGGGGCAGCATCCCCTGATGCATCATCATACCCTGAGGGTTCATCATACCTTGGGGGTTCATCATACCTTGGGGGTTCATCATACCTTGGGGGTTCATCATACCTTGGGGGTTCATCATACCTTGGGGGTTCATCATACCTTGGGGGTTCATCATACCTTGATTCGTTACCATGGCCTGATGGGGTACCATGCCTGGGAACATATGCATGGGGTGGAAGCTTGGGGCGGCAGAAGCGGGCAGAGCTCCTGGTGCTATTGGAAAGGGGGGCATGGCATTAGTTGGAGTGAAACCATCACCTGGGGCTGATACCAACTGCTGCCCCTCCTGCTGCTGCTGCTGCTGCCTTTCCTCCTGCTGCTGCTTCTGCGGCTGCTCCTGCTGCTGTCCCTGCTCCTGCTGCTGCCCCTGCTCCTGCTGCTGTTGCAGCACTGGCTGATGATGCTGCTGATGCTGGTTCAGCTGTAGCAGCACCACACCTACTTCACCCCCTGCCTTGTGCTGCTCCTCGTCTTTCTTGTGCTGCTGCTCTTGTTGCCCCTTCTCTTGCTGCTGCTGCTGCACCTGCTTCTGTTGTTCCTGTTGCTGCAGCGGCTGCTGCTGTTGCTGCTGTTCTGTCTGTGGCTGCTGTTCCTCCAACCCCTGTCCTTCACGTTCCTGCTGCAGCAGCTTCTCTGCTTGCTCCTGCACCTGCTGCTGAGATGGCTGCTGCTGTGTCGGCTGCTGCTGAGCTGGCTGCTGCTGAGCTGGCGGCTGATCACAGCTCGCATCAGGGTCTCCAGCCACACGCCACTCCTGACGCTGCTTCCCTCCCCTGTCACCCCTACCTCCCCTGCTGCCCCTCTGCCGGCCCTGCTTCTGCTGCCCCTTCCTCTGCGGCTGCTCTCCTTGCTCTCCCCCTCCCTGCTCTCCCTGCTCCTGTTGCTGCGGCTG